AGGGGACGCGGCGAGGAGCAGGGTGATGGACCTCGCCGCCAAGTGTCGTGCCGCCGTTGCGGAAGGGGGCTCCTCCCACCGTGATCTGCGTCGTCTCGTCGATGATCTCATGGAAGCAAGAGCCAAGAAGAACTGCCTTGCTTAATTAATTAGCCGGCTGTGTGCATTAATCGATGTAGATGTCGGGAGTTATCCTTGTTAAAAAATGGCCTCTTGGCCATATTCATGTGTTAAATACTCTTATGTTTTGATGAGTCCTTTTGTTTGTGGTGTATGGGTGGTACGCGCGTGCATATGTTTTTTTGAAAAGAAGGATGACCTTCAACCTCTGCATCTAGACGTGTACATGTATTTTTTCCGAAAAAGAGGATGACCGATGACCCTCGACCTCTGCATCGCGCGTGCACATGTGACAACCAGCTGTCCCGCATGCTCTAAACTTAAACTATTTATATATGGATATCTATGATATTAAGTAAACTCAGAAAATAATGCTTTAAGCTCCGAGTTATCTCTAATGCGAGAATGTAATAGGAGAATAGAGCCAAAGAAAACCTACTTGACTGGTAGCTTCTAGTACATGTTATCTTGCTTGCTAAAGCATCGGCGGTCATTGTGCCCCCCAACAATGTTCATCGGTCCTTGGACAATACTAGAGACCACAGACGGACAAAAATCTCCTCTGATGGGTATGTTGCTCGTCGACGATTAAAATTTAGGTGGAGAGTCAACTAAATCTTTTGTGAGTCCTTCGTTTGTCTCGTGTCTCTATGTGTCAGCTCTAAGTTAACTCTGATGTGGGAACATGATAGGGGAATCGAGCCAAAGTACTTTATTGGTAGCTTCTAGTACAGGTTGTTTTGCTTGTTAAAGTGTTGGCGGTCATTGTGCCCCAGTAATGTTCATCGAATCGCTTGGACACTACTCCCTTCGTTTCCAAATAATTGTCTTTCTAGCCATCTCAAATGGACTACAACATACGAATGTATGTAGACATGTTTTAGAGTGTAGATTCATTCATTTTGCTCCGTATGTAGTCACTTATTGAAATTTCTAGAAAGACAATTATTTAGGAACGGAGGGAGTACTTCAGATTACCTAAATACCGGGGTGCGTAAAACTCCTCCACTAATGAGCATGTGACCCCTATCGGTGACTAAAAGTTAGTGAAAAGTCTACATCGCACCACCGATGGGCTTTGCACATTAATGTCGGGTCAACTAGTCAGTGGCGTGTTTATCACTTTGGTGTTGATACATTGATCTAATGTTGTTGCACATCACATGAAAACTATCTTGGAAGTGGCAAAATGACATGTCAAAAAACTTCTAGCCACACCTTTTCGCATATATAAAAATGAAGATATCTGTCAGAAAGGTTCTTGATCATCAAGATCTTTTTGATCTATTCTACCTGCCATTATCCGAAGAAGCTTTCCTTCAATTTGGCGATATGGGCCATAACTTTGTTCATCTTTCGACAATGCTAAGAGGAAGACAATTGGCAGCCCACTAGCCAATCTTCTGGGGGTTTTTTGTCTCTAAATCTTACAAGTTATTGCTTGGACACCAACCCCTTCACATGCTATCAACTGGATATGGGCCTCTTGTTGTCAAATGAAGCACACGTATTTTTGGGCTATTGTTTCACGACCGACTGACACCAGAGAGTTACTTCAGAGGAAAATTTTCTTCATTCTTGATTATTCATGTGTCATGTGTGGTCACGATAGTTTGCTCAAATTTGTTCGAAATACATCTGTCCCAATTGGAGAACATGCAGGGGTATATTAATCATCTCAAGTTGCAACTTCAGGTGCCATTTTTTTATGGAAATCATCATCATAGTCTGTTGCTCAATTTGGCTAGTAAGGAATGATTTCATCTTCAAAATATTCAGCCAAGCTTATATAGATGCAGGGCCAAATTTAAAGATGAGCTCAAATGGACCATCCATAGAGCGAATAAAAGAAGAAGATATGACCTCTTTGACAGCTGGGTGAATTCTTTTCGTAGAATGTATATGTATATGTATAATATCAGTGATGGACTGATGTCTTTGTGTATTTTTGGTATGCACGTACTTGCAATGGCCCAACAAAAAAATTGAGGTTGTGTTGAATTGATGCGATGGTAAGATTGACATGTAGTTTTTTGTCTCTTTTGTAACTGGGAAAAAAGATGTACCTATGCTTGTCCTCCCCCAGAACACGTCACACAAATAGTCAATTTCAAGGATTGAAAATTTGTGTTTTATCCCAACCGACTCTATAAGTTTAAAGTTACTAACTATTTCCAAAGCAGCATTTATCTAGAAAGTATGAATCAAAGAGAATGTTTCAACAAAAGAGAACCAACCAAATGATTGGATGGTTAGAGCATCTCTAGCCAAACCCTCAGAAGTGATGAACTCAAAATATTCTCTTTTGAGGAGTTAAGTCGCACCTAGCTGAACCCTCAACCAATTTAACTCTTCAAGATGGTCCTTGTCATGATACTTCCAGTGAACAAGACTAGGATCACAGCCTGGTCACTTGTGCATCAATCGGGATAGAGTAGAAGGCCATGCCGAGCTTATGAAGGATTACTTTGCACCCAATTCAACTTATCTATAGAAGTATTTTTGTCGGTGATTTTGGATGCATAGAAGTCCCTTCTCACCATTGCAAAAGTTGTAGAGGAGCATGATCATTGTTTACACTTAGGAGAAGTGCATCAGGAGAGATAAGTGCAAGCCCATTGACAAAGTGTGTCACGGTTGTTCGAGTGCTTGCTTATGGGTGTTCGGCCGATGCCATTGATGACTATGTATGCATTGGTAAGATTCAATCCTAGAGGAAATTCGAAGATACATATAAGCCTGCATTGAGATCTATGAACAGGAGTACTTGAGGAGCACCCAATGACAAAGACACTAAGAGACTTTTGGGTTTGAGTGAGATGGACAGGGATGCTTGGATCAATTGATTGCATACACTGGACACGGAAGCATTGTCCTGCAGGGTGGAAACGTCAGTCGTCAGTACAAAGGGCAGTTGCATCAGGATGGCCTGGCTCTCAGAATGACCTGAATGTGCTTTTCTAGATCACCATGGTTCGCAAGGCTTGTTGTCGGAGATGCTCCTCCTTACAATTATGTTGTCAATGGCTGTCAGTACAGAATGGGCTACTATCTTTTAGATGGTATCTATCCTCCATGGTCCATATTTGTGAACAATATAGCGTCCTCAAGGCAACAAGAGATCCCACTTTGCAATGCATCAAGAGTCCATAAGAAAGGATGTCGAGAGAGTTTTGGTGTGCTTCAAAAGTGCTTTGTCGTTATTCGTGGCCTGCCGAGTATTGGAAGCCATAGATTCTATGGCAAATAATGACATATTGCATCATCTTGCACAACATGAACATTGAGAATGAGAGAGACATGCTAGAGAACTTTTGATACATCTCCATTGGGGCTCATGCCGAGCCGGAAGACAATCAAATAGGATGCATAGATCTCTCGTAATGCATTGAAGTATCGAGAGCTGAGAAGTTCATACACTCATCTCCAAGATAATCTTGTTGAGCACTTGTGGGCACTTCATAGCACTTGATTGATGCGCCTTCTATCATGCTCTTTATTTGGATTATTACTTGGACCCTTTGGTGTGCTTGAAATTGAATAATTAAATTTGTAAACTTTTAATTGTAATGCTCATGAATTGTGTGAATCTTAATTATCAAGTTTGGTTTTAGTATGCGTAAAAATATGTAGTGGAAATGGAGTATGTAAATCAAAACATAGAAGAATTGGCAAAAAAAAAATAGAGTTAAGTTTTAGAAGTTCGGCTACGAACCATTTTTATTTAACTCGTCAAAATTGAGGCATTAAGGTTTGATGGGCATTTGACGGACTAAATTTTAGGGCTTTGACTAGAAACGTTGTTAGGAGGGTGGTTGTAACGCTAGTCCACCAGAAAATAAACCCTAGGATCCTCGATTTAGCGTCTCATCAATGCAGATTACTATTTTAGTGAATGACGTATTTATTCGATTTATTGTATCTTCAATAAACGTTGAGGCCAGTTTTTTTGGGCGGCTTAAAAAATAAACTGCCCCTCCCCGACTTAAAAAATAAGTTGCACCAAAAACTTATTGAGGCTTTTGAATTAGGTATCTCATAACTAGTTTAGAAACCCCAATATATAAGAGTGACGGCTTATAGAAAAAGTTGAGGAGGAGGCGGCTTATTTTTTAAACTGACAAAAGAATTGGCCCTGATAGGCGCCTCTATCTATACTGTGGTATTCACTCTTGTCTGTGGTGGCTCGTCAAACTTAAAACTCAATGGCTCCGGCCTACAACAGACGTTTTGTGCACGAGCGGTAGTTTAAAAAGTGCTTCAGAAAGAAGGGGAAAAAGTAAGAATTAGACGCGTGTACGATGCTATCTTGTGATGATGATTATATAAAAGAAAGAAAATCAAAATTTCATAGTAGCAAACTTGTTCGTTTGGAACACCGTGGACACGCACGGTCAATCTCAACAGTGAGCGACGTCGTCC